CGATCTAACTGCTCATGCTGCACGTCCAAAAGCCACACGTCGGACTCAGCACCGGGAGATTGCGTTGGTCGGACTGGAAGAAGAAGAACTCCCTTGTTTGCACATGCGCAGTATGTGAGGTTCTGGTAAATTTGCTGATGGATGCTCATAGCTCTGATTCAACAGCAGGATTTGCCAGTGAACACCTTACAAGGGTCGACTGAATTTCAAACACGTGTGATTTTCTTCTGACCTTATGATGGTATTTGGAGATGGTCATGAAAGGCTATTCGCCCCTGTATACTACACGATGCAGGACACAGGTGAGGCTAAAATAATTTTTAAAATTCTTGCATGACTAAAGAATTGGCCCAAAAAATTGCACACACAAAAAAACGCCCGTATGCCAGCCTTAGCAGCACTTTAAAATGAGACGGTTCCGGTGGCTCACAGAGGAATGTTAAAACTTTGCTCAATAAAGTGAATTAAATTACAAAAGTTACCCATCTACATGCTCATCAAATATCTAGTATCATAATTTTCTCCCTTTTTCTATCATCACAACCTCCCCTACTGAACTCAGCAGAGAAGTTATGCTGCTCCACTCTACAGCACGGGTAAAGGGCCACTATTTAGGAGATACTGTAACTTAAGAAATGTAAGTGTTCATATTTACAAACAGGATCACATAAACTGCAGTCTGAATCCATGATTCGATTAAATATTTACAATGAATCGGATAGACCATATTTTAATCGAATTAACAAATAGTCAACGATTAATCCTAGCCGTCACAAAAAGTTCCTGATTCCATCTTGTGAAGTATTTTGTAAAAGAAGCTTCTGTAACTTTGTTAATTGTTAGACCAGCGCCATGCTGTATGTAAATGATGGAGGAGGGTTGTGAGGTTTCATGCCAGCAGCACAAACCTCGATGAGCATCTGAGACTTAGTCACTCTACAGAATACGGTGAGGACAGGAGGCTGCCATCTGAAGAGGAAAGGAAAGGTGCCATATGTGCGACACCAACTTCAATCAGCTAGTGCTTTGGCAGAGACACTGGCACCAGCCTGGCTTTTTTCCCCCCCAGTAAAACATGTTCTGTCTTTAATTTACTGGCTGTCGAGAGAGAACACGTCCTGTCGGTATAGTAACCATCCATGGTATGAATTGAAGTCTGAGCATTAAAACTAAAGATATATTCTGGGAAACCATATTAAAAAGTAAGGCCATGTTTGCATGAAGTTAAACTAATGAGCTGCACATATGAACAGACTGTAATCTAGGATTTATCCATAATAGAATTATAACATGTGTAAGGAATTAATAATACTTCAGAGGTAATGAAATGGGATGTAACTCAGTTTTGAAACACTTTTAAACTCACATGGAAGCTGCAGAAATTAAATAAACCCAGCGGAAAGCCTACTATGAACAGCTGTCAGAAACTAGGAAACAACATTAGCCCTCTTTGATACGCCAAAGTGTCAATTAGGTGTGTCTGTATGTTCCCAGCATCTAAACCAAGTTAACCATGTTTTTGGACTCAGTTCAGTGTTTAAAAACCAGTGCTGATTGGCTTTTAGAGGGAGATTAAAAAGTTAAGCCTGAAAGAAGGCATCCTGCATAAAAAGAATGACTATTTTATTCTTTAATGCAGCATGATGTTCACTTTAAAAATCATTCCTTGACCAAAACATTTTTATAAAGTCTGTGGGACAAATTTAAGCACTATAGTGATTATGTTAAACTGATGGAACTAAATTGCTTTTAAAAATTGCTTAACTGCATCTGCAGGTCATCGTGCATGATCTCCTTTTCTTTAAGTCCACAGCATTAGGGAAGAAATTGATGCATAATTTTGAATGTATTATAACTTAAGTAGATCAATAAAAAGTATTAATTCTGGGGAAATCTTCCCTTTTGATTTAAAGTAAAAATTGGCCAGTATGAAGAATATTATTTCTCACTTTGGCATCAGGCACCTCAGATACAATTTACAGTCCCCAGTCTTTCACAGTGAGAAGACAAAAAGTAGCCCCCCTCTCCTCCTGTCAGAGGGAATGAAGGTTCAAGTGATGCAAAGAAATGAAAAAAGGGTTTCAACCATAAAATGGAAACAACAAGAGTGGCGGCAACATGGCTTGAAAAACAGAGGAGCCACGTTCCACCGAACAACAGGCTTACATTGAATAATTCAGCGGGCATAAGAGTCCGTTTGAGAGCAGGCTTTCTAATATTCATGTGACATGATAGCCAAGACAGGAACTCTGGCTCTCGCTGGGCACAATGTTATTCGCACGGTAAAGTACAACAGTGTTTTGTTATTCATAGCCTTGGTTTTAAGCCAACCAAGGACATATTTAACTCAACCATGAGCCACAGCAGCAGCTCAATAATTGAAATAAAAAGTTTTCCAATTTTGAACTTATGTGTATCAAATATTCAAGGAGAAAAAACACCTTTCATTCAAATGCCTAAAACTAACCTTCCACTTTCAGAACAGAGACTGCATCAGCTTCGTCTCTCTAAGCAAAGCAAAGCTACAAAGCAGCAGGATTTTTAGAAATATGTGAAAAGCATGGATAGTCACTTATTCACTGACACTAAACCTTCTTCTGTCGCCAAAGTCCCTCTTTTGTTTGTATTCTCTTTTAAATAGACACGTCTACAATACATTGATGGAATATTTTAGTGTTTGTAATTAAGCTGCCCCTCAAGCCCATTTTTTCTAAAGAAAATCACTAGTTTGCTGGTTGCATTTGTTAAACTAAAGTGAGTTGTTCTAACATTTAATGTTATTGTAGAGGCCATTCATAATCACTCACGGCATAAAACATCTTCTGTAGAGGATGATTCCCTTTTTCAGGAAGTGTTGAGAACAAATGCTTTGAAATGAGTGTTTTTCATAAGTCACATTAACTTTTTAGAGGAAAACACAACAGACTTGAGCTACGCACAGCTCTCTCTGGCATCAATGATTGGCCCTCCAGCCAGGAGTGAACAAAAGCTGCTTAACACAGCTTTAGGGGAAATTGTAGCTTTTTTATGCAGAACACAGCTGCAACATGTCCCTTAAAAAAAAAACACATTGGCTGCTGTTTCTGTACTTGATGTGTGTGAGTAAGTTCAGTGCCCTGAATGGTATAATGGCTACGCACAGCCAAGCTGATTACGCTAGCATGTAATTGTTTGAGCGGATGAATGTGGCACATTTAGGCATCTGGAAATTGTATTTGAGTAAAATCCAGGAAGTAAACAATTATTTCCCTGATATTTCTGTAGAAGTTTACAAGAATTAAACATTTTGTCTACATTTTTTTTGTTGTTTTCCACACGAAAGCTGCCTAGGTTCAGGTGTTACCTTAGAAGAGATGCTTGTTTCTCCAAAAAAACTCTAAAAACCATTACTTCATCCCTAGTTTTTTGTATGCAAGACTCTTATATTATAAAAGGGAAAGTATCAGCTTGTTTTTCAGAGTAGCCCTGTTTCTCTCACTGTTACTGGATGTGCTCTCTTCATCCTCTGAAATGGGAGCTGGCTCGGAGTTTGTCTGCCTGGCTGTGTGTTTCCTGGACAGTTGCCTTTTGTATCTCTGCTTCTGTCTCCTTGAACCCCAGTTGGCCTCAGCAGATGGCTGCTCACACTCAGCCTGGTTCTGCTGGAGGTTTCTTCCTGTTAAAAGGGAGTTTTTCCTCTCCACTGTCGCTACAAGCATGCTTAGTGTGACGGATTGCCTTCAAGTCAATGAGTCGATGCAATCAACTGGTTTTCCTTAGATAGAAAACTTTGAATCAATTTGACAGTATGATCTGTTGAACTGTAAAGTGCCTTGAGATTATGTGTGTTGTGAATTGGCGCTATAGAAACAAACTGAATTAAATTGAATTATAATAACCAAAATATGAAAAAGTTTACCCTAAATTTTACCTGCCATCATCCCCACTGCTAACTTTGTAAAACATAGTAAACAAGCCTTTACACTCAAGCTCATCACACCACACCAACATGAATATGAAAAACCACAACATCCAAATTTTCAAAAGCATTCTGTAAATAATGCATTATCTTTTTTATAGTTTCTTTTAAAGAAGATAAAGGTTATAAAAATGTATATGTGAATATCCTAACATGAACGTGTGCATATTAATAATTGTATACATTAAACTACTGGGCAGCATACTGTATATCAACTTAGGAAATTAAAACATAAAGATTTAGCATTAAATACACCAGGATAAGCAACAAATATATCTTCTTCGTCCAAAAGTGATATATAACTCCTAAAGACATCTGGATGCAAGAAAATCGAAAAGGGAAGGGGCTCTATATGTTTTAGCTTCCAAAGAATAAGTCGGTTCTTTCTGACTTCTGCTTTTATTTCAGTTTTTTTACTGCGCTTTCTAAGCATGCTACTCGGAGGACTCCACATCACAGCAAAGAGGAGTGCAGCAAGATGCACTCTATATTGGGAGTTGGTTTGATTTACTGTCAGACTGATAAAAAAAAAACATGAGCCATTTAACACAGCCTAAACATGTATTTGTTGCCACCGTATTGGATCCTGCAGCACGCAGGCAGTTAAGCTAGATGCACGTTTGAAATTTTGACAAAGAAACTGAATAATGAAACTGCGTCTTTAAGCTTTTTGTCACCTCTTGTTTCTCCAATCACTGCATAGGTAGAGCCAAAATAACAACCAAGATGGATTGATTTTACAAAACAGAATTTAAAAAGATTCAGTTGAAACAGAATCAGTTTGATAAAAGGTGGGCGGAGGGGGAAACAATGCAGTGATCTATCTGGACAATACCTGAACAACAGTCTTAAAGGGCAAATTTCCTGTCAAAATCTTAAAGCTGTTTTGCCTTTCTGCCCTTTAAATGAGACTGGAGTCACAACACATAACAAAAAGTCAGATGGATTTGTCTTTTTCCAATTCGGAAAACAGGAAAGCTTACTGCCCTGGAAAAATAGATCCCCTATGCATAACTCTAAAGTAAAACCTAATTATTCTTACAGTCAAGCGAGTCCTTCAATGAGGGGTGGAGGAGGCCTCTGGGTGATCCGTGGTACAGATTCAGCCTACAGGATAAAGCAGAACAGAACTTAAGAGCAGGTCTGCAGGTTTCAGGAGATCTGACTATCTTCATTTAGCATTTGACCCATTTTTAAGAGCATTTCACTGATTTGATGATTAGAAAAAGCAGGGAAAAATATAAAGGAAACATTTATAGGTTACCTTTGAGTTACTTCTCTGCATAATTAACCTTCAAACTTCTTATAATCCATCTCTAGAACATGTATTGAGATCTTTGAAACCCACCACATAGTAAATTCCTACCCTGCTCTAATTGCAGATGGTAAAAAGCAGGTTCATATGCTGCGATGCAAAGGTAACGTAGGTTAGAGTACAAGGCAGGGAACCAATTTAGTCTGTTTGTGGTGAAATGGGCGCTTTGACCAAACCGCCGTCTGATGGCAGACATCCCAAGTCTCCCGGAAGTTCCAGGAGTCTCCCTGATAAAGATAGTTATTCACGGATGCCCGCGAGTCGGATAAATTATCCCGGATTTTACACTTTGAGAGGTGGTGTTTTTTTAATGCGAGTGAGAGCGGGCAGGCAATAATTCATACATCATGTGCGGATAAGAACTACTTCGATTGCGCAGACAACTAGAGAGCGCAGGGTGTGGGGAGGAGGTTACTTGTGAAACCTGTGCCCAAGTCTGTCCAAAGCGATGCTCTGTTCAACCAGTGTTCCAGGCGACTGGTTGATCAGAGAGCTGATTGGATCCGCCCGATAAGTTTCTCTGGGTTACTCTCTGGCAGTCACCTAGTTACCACTCAAAGCTGTGCATCCTGTGAAACAGCAGAGGGTGAATCCTCGAGTAAAAAACAAAATATAGGACTAATTTTACAGCAGAATATACTAAAGTATATCCACGTCTAGTGAAGGTGAGAAACAGTGGCAGATCTCTACCAAACTGACCAGGGGGCCAGGAGGGGGCCAGCGTGTTTTCATGGGGGCACCGAAGAGGATGAAATAAGAAAACAGAGCAAGGGATTCGAATATATTAAGAGGGCTGCATGAAGTGAAATAAATTTTCAATTAGATTCGATAGAAATTATATTTCTTAGGAGGCAAATATACATTTATAATTTAGGAATTTTACATATTTTTGACTTAATTTAAGTTAAAACTACTGTTTTCTATCAACTTTAAATTAGAACTCAAGAAAAACTGTTAAATTCATCTGTAAAAATTTGAACATTTTTTTTTATTTGTCGTGAAAAAAAAACATTTAGCAGATGATAACTGGGATCCTATCTCAGTACCACTGAAGCTATCGCCTTGTTGGTTTTGAATAATTAATAAAACAGAATTTGTAAAGAAAAAGAATGAAGTAGTTCCAAAGGACCTATCAGTAACCATTTCTGTTCCAGCGCATATCATCTCTAGAATTTCTGGCCCCCGTTTGCCCCCGTCTAGAACCGGCAAAGGTGAGGAATGATGACACCGTGGCGAGGTGCACTGTATGCTGAATTCCCACGAAAAACAGAAAGCACAACCGATGTTCAAGGCTACAAAATTGAAAGTATTGAAAAATAAAAGACCAATACTGTTCTGTTTTGTGTTTAAGAAATTACTGTTAGTTAATAAATAGTTGTTGAGAAGTTGCTGGCCTTAAGTGTGTATGTATGGGGCACGGTGCGAGTCCGTTCTACCCGGGGGGGTTAAGCATCTCCCTGAAATGAGTTTTTGGAACTTGGGATGTCTGTGATGGGGTGGATCTAAGGTCGGTTTGTCTAATAGGAGACTGACTGAAGAGGCAGCAGAATGACAGGAGGGACTATAAAAAGCAGAATCCTATCAAAAACTATTGTAAACAGAAACCAACATGGCTCACAGAATCAGACAGCAAGACAATGGAAACCATGATAAAAATAAAACAAGTATGACATAAAGACTCTCGCTTCTTTTAAAAACTATTAGTAGAAAAAATATGAAGCTAATCACTATGAATGAGCGCTAAAGAGTGCGAATCATGCTTCTACAATGAGATGTCTATCATTTTTGTTTTACACTAAGAACTGTCAGAAACTTCACTTGTAGTTCAACAAAAAATGCAGAGACAGTAAACATTATTAGGTCTACAAAAACAGGATTATATTTTAGCTCTTTTTCTTATTTTATTTCCTTCAGGAAAACCAAGAATCACCCTATTTCTGTTTGTTCCAACTCCTCCGCTGACCTCTTTCAGTGATTTTATATGGCCTACCACTTCATAGACCAGTATCTATTGTCCACAATCCCTTTAACTTTGCTACCTTACCTCAAACAATCGACTGGGATGTTTGGAAGTGAGAAAAATTCATGACTGTACCCATTTCACAGGTAAGATCCCATTACAGAACCAAGCTAGATTTCACTGAGCTCCTGAGAATAACCCACTCTTTCCAAGATGTTTGTAAAAGCAGCCATACATTCCATGGATGTGATTAGAACCCCTGAATTCAATCATCTGGATGGGTGAATGAATACCTTAGGCAATAGTATTACCACTTTCTTACTTCTTAGCAACTAAAGCCTTTTCCAAGCAAACAAAGTTATTCTTCTGTTTTGATAAACAAAGAAAGGGTTTCATAAAGCACAAATTGTGGTGTTTTTTTATCCAGATGTGGAGTCCAATTCAGACTGGCTGTAAATCTTAGAAACTGAGCTAAAAATGATTATAAGCAGCCCTGATTCCCTTAAAGAATGTGAAATATCATTTTAGTTCCACACAATTAAAAAGCTAAAGGGGAAACCGAGGTGGGGTCGCTGCTGCGCTTCTCATTAGATGGTCTGGCTGAATTGGCCTTTTTAACACATTTTGGACGTGTTTAGCTGAGCTGCACTGAGACAGAACAGATCACTGGACTCCAGCTGTGGATAGTTTTAGCAGAAGCACCGACACTTCTGGATGCAGCAGCTTCCGAAAGGATCGCTAAGCGACCAGATGCTGATGGAGCGAGCTGTTGAATAGGAGCTTATAGAACAGCTTCTTTTTAAAGCGAACCTTCTGCTGATAATAATCCAGATGCAAATTATAGTATCATTAACCAGCTGGCATCTGTGGTAATATCTTCTCATAGCGCTTGGACCAGATACCCAGATAAGGCCGTATTAATGATGTTAAAGTCATGAGGGCAGCTTGGATCAGATTTTAAATCCATGTTTATCAACCCCATCCTCTAAAAAGAGCAGCTATTTCTTAGTTAACTTTAAAACATGGGCCTTGATCAAAGTTACGCGATAAGCTTAAGGCATGATCATAATAAAAGCTTCATCTAATAGCCTAAGAATTCCCATGCTGTTGGCTGCATGGCGCTTCAGGAGTTTAGTTATTAACCTTCGCATTATTAAATGTTGTCATATAATTAAACTCGGCACCACAGCAGACTGAGGTGGCTTTAAAACACAAAAGCGTTTCTGTCACGTATGCATAAATACAACAACTTTTCTACAATAAATAAAGAAAGACGCACCTTATGAGACCAAACAAGCTGACTGGTGAGAACACATCTATCTGCTTCATTAGAAATACACCTGTCCTTCACGTCCTAATGAGAAGGCTCGTTAATCCCTGTATGTTGTAATTAAGAGTGCAGTAATCACCTTCTGCCACCATCGATGCTTGGACCCTCTGGCCTGTTGGTGAAAAGCTCCAGGATAGTGAAGCCTTTCCCCAAAGCCAGATTGGAGCCGTCTGGTTTGGGGCACAAAGACGCAAACTCCACGATGGCCAGAGTGCCGGGCAACATCAAGGATGTATGGAGGTACAGCACCTGGGGAGGGACACATGGAGCACAAAAAGAGACGAGAGAAGCTCAGAAAGATGATCTGATCTGTAAAATAAACTGGGTTGTACCTCCTGTCTAAGAACTTACATTTTCATTTATTCTGCAACTAAACATAGGAACAGTACAGTTTTATCCATCCCTTTTATTTATCATAAAATCATAAGGTAATTACCATACAGTGCGAAAGTTAGCTCTACCTCCTCACCGGTGTTAAGGTAAAAGTTGGTGTATCATAAAAGGAAGTGCTAATTATGACAGTAAACATTTTTACATTAGCTTTATGTTTAAATTGCAGATAGTAGGAGGTTAAAGCGTGGTTTAAAGCAGCAGGGGCAGCTTCCTCCTCCATGTTCTGTCCTCTGTGTGTCTGACAAGACCTCAGGAGCAGTGAGAGCAAACAAGCAGGAGGTGGAAGAGCTGAAAGGCACAGTGAGATTCTTGCAAACTGAATAGATACAAAGGAACACCCGCATGTCGGGGTTATTACAGATAAAGGAAGAAAAGAAACTGTACAGAGGAAGCGGTTTATTTTATAAAATAACAAAACAAAAGAAGCTCGGAAATTTCTCAGACTTATTTGTGCCCAAGTATTATGAAACTTGCAATGTCTAGGATGTTGAAATGTTATTCATTTTTCATGAATCCTCAATTGTTTGACAACTAAATACATTTTTAACTGGAATAATAGTAAATTTGCACTTTAAACTCAGAGGATCTGAGTCTTTACAGTAAATTTCTCACCTTCCACAAAGGATTTTCTTGTTTTGTGTAAAGTAAGGCACTTGAACCTGAAAATAAACTTTATCTAAGTTTAAGCTTTAAAACATAAAAGGCTCAATGTAAAAATATTATATTTGTTTGGGAATTTCAGAGATTTCTACTTTTAGGTCCCAAACGTGTCTTCATTAGCCTTTCCTCCAAACGACCAAAAAAACAAAAAAAAAAAAAACATCTTTGGATTAAGAATATTCAGCATTAAAGCTTTATTTTAATAAATAAAGCGTCCATGCTTTTGTGATATTTGCATAATAGTACCAGAAAGGTTTGGTCTAGAAGGCCACATATGTTGCTCTATAACATTAAAGTCCTTATCTTCATTATTGTTGCTGTTACAGAGGAGTGGATTTGATTAGCCAAGGGTCCTGTTATATTGTTTACCTGAGGAGGATATATTGCATTTTAGAAATAAAGGAAACAAGTTAGATCAGGCAAATGAGAATGAAGGAAGGGAACAAAAACAAACACAAACTCCTAGTTTTCCTGGGGTCTGAGTGAGATTAACCAAACCGATGAAAGAATCAAGATAAAGATGACGTAAAATAACAAATAATAATAAAACTAATTATGACCAATAAACAGCATGATGAAAATTACATCGGGGAAATTACCAATAAACAAGTACAGATGGTGCTCTGTCCCAAGGTGTTTAGTTTGGCTTGAAGCATCAACTGTTGCTGTCATCCAAACAGTGCGGGGACATTCAAAATAAAAATATTAAACCCATTTGGAAGGTAATTCCAAATATCCTGAGGACGGTGCAAATCCAGCATTAGAATAACCTGAAAGCTGATGTGACTAACCTGCAGGGACATTGTTCTGATCAATTTCGTGTGCAAGAGAAAAACAAGTGATCCTTGCAACTCTAGCCGATTGATTTATCTCCATTCCAGTCATGTAGCTCACCACTTCATTAGGAGTATCCTTTTCTTAGAAAGATGAATTAATTAATTTTCAGCCAGCTGTTGCGCTGCTTTTGAGATGGCGGACAAAACAACATGATCACTGATCTCTCCCTGCTGGCGAGGAATCTAAAATAAAAATAAATCCATTCAGGAGGTGGATGCGCTGTGTTGTTCTGACCTGTTATTTCCGTATCAGCTCAGAGAGGATAAACCCTTTTGGGAGCCTTTTTGTAGTTCACGCCAGGTAGATGCAATTGTATGCGGGCTCTGATGTGCTCAAATTGAAAATAATAGCCTCGCTGTGCCAAAGCCTCCCTGTTTTACACAGCACAGAGGCCTGAATACCATAAAGAGACCCATAAATTCTGTCTGATCCATGGAGCACAACTCATGTTATTTTTTCTAAATCATAAAGAATAACATGATGACAGCGTCGGAAAATAAAGAAGTCAATTTGAGCCACAGTAATATACAAACTAATTTTCCAGGCCCTTTGGATCAGAGCCTGATTATCTTCAGATGAAAAGGCCAATATATCCACTTTTAAAAGCTCTACAGATTTTCCTTTTTGGTCATTTAACACATTCTCTTATAGACAGTATGTTATAACTAATGGTCTTACAAAAAATACAACTAAAAGAGGAAAGCATAAAGGGTTGAAATTCTTCAAATAACAGTCTTTGAGGGGATTTTTGTCAATTATTTACCTCTTCAGCATATTTCTGTGCTATAAAATATTATTAACTATACCAAATAAGCCTGACATAAAAGCTGTAGGACTGTTTAATCAAACTCATCACGTTTAAAAAACACAAACGTGTATTTGATAATGACTAAGTTCATTAGATTTTGAAAGGAAACCATGTTAGTATTCATAACAAAAAAGTCAAGGACATCATTTTAGATGAATCTTTTTGGGACTCTACTGTATGGACTGATTTAAGAGGGGAAGTCCAACATCTCATCTCGTGCATATCAGTGATCTATGAACTGTTTTATGTATGCAGTTGCTTTTTATAAAATCTATTTGGCTTTTAATTTGTTTTGAATATTGCTTCTGTATGCATTGGTTTAGTTTTTGCTTGAGATCATTCCGATTCATGCACCAACATAAGATCTGAAAGGCTGGTGCAGTAAACCCTTCTTAAAGCCACCTCTGTTGGTCGCAAATCAACCTCAATTGAGGTCATATCTTGGCCAACCGATGGACCCTTATGTCCCTAAAGATTATAGTGGAAGTGAGAAATATCCTTACAACTGTAAAGAAAGGAGGTTATGTGGCCGCAAACCAAATACTAAACAATCCTTTCTAACTACACATTTAGCGGAGGAATCAAGGTGTAAATGTTATCAAATGTTTTGCTGCACATGCTGGACAAACTTCTCTACCTTAGTCTCTGGGGATTGTCCCATGATTCTTTGAGTTAAATGGTAAATGGTAAATGGCATGTACTTATATAGCGCCTTTATTCAAGTTAGGAGACTTGACCAAAGCGCTTTACACTACATTCATTCACCCATTCACACACACACTCATACACTGATGGTGGCAAGCTACATTGTAGCCACAGCTGCCCTGGGGCTCACTGACAGAAGCGAGTTAGTTTAGATCCAGCTTTATGAACCCAACCTGTTCTGCCAAGGTGTTTTACGCAATAGTTGTTGTTTTTCTTGCATCATCCTTAAAATGTTCTGGTGGATGTTTTTTCTTTAGAAAGTGCTTCTGTTGTCTTTGTGACCCATAACTGTACTTTTATTCCCAGGTGTTTAAGATGGAAAGCAACATCATTTTTGAGTGGGACTCTGCTGGAGATCTCTTTTTATCATAAGATTTTTTTTTCTACACTATACCTTCATATGACCCCTATTCATGCCAATTGCTAATTAATATAGCTATTTTATAGCTGTACAGTTTACTATGTAAAGTCTTGTGGACTCTAAAATTAAGCTTTTGAGTATTTCTATACAATGCAACCACCTGAAAAGATGGGACAACCTCTCCAACAAACTCCGATCTTTGCCGTTTCCCACTTGCCCTGTCCAAAGTGAAGAACCCCAGGTTGTTTGGTATAACAGACCGTGGTACAATCTCTTGCCTAACATCCCTATTAGTTAGTCTTTACATTCTGCAGATTAGTATTGCTTTGTAATTGTATCGTCATTAACTTCATCTTTATTAAATTCAGCTCAGTTAAACAATGTCCAAAAGCTACTTTAGATAAAAGATTTGGAATTTGCATCTTGGATGACTGGGTTACATAAGTCCCTAAATGAAGCTGCTCATCAAACCATTTCATCATAAGAAGGAGAGAAGAGTCTTTAGCCAAGTGTCAGGTTTCCACCACTGCGGCGGAAGCCGATAAAAAGCCATAATCAATGCAGAGACATTTGACTTGGTAATGAAAGCAGATTGTCTCCTTCAGTGCTCGGGACAAAAGTGTAATGCTTGATGGTTCTAAATGGTGTTTAGTCTACTTTGAAAAAGGCTTTCAGAATAACTCTTTGCCTTTTCAAACAAACTCTCCTAACAGTGGTAACATCTCATTGCAACACAAAGAATTATTCATCCTTCAGTTGTATGATCATAAATGTATTTGAGGGGTATTTACAGGTGATGGGTTTAAAAACAGCATTTGTTAAACAGTAAACTGTGGAGCATTGGCTTACTTTGCATGACAATAACATTCAAATCTCCATGTATTGAATTTAATTTATGTAAAAACAGATTATATCACAGTGGGATTGGATTACACTGTATGGAATTAGCAACTGTTTTATATGCATGTATATACAATCAGGCTATTGTTAGCAGATTAAATCTCAATTTCGATGAACCCCGAAAGCAAACTTTCTGCTGTGTCATCCAATCTATTTTGCCAAAGTCATAAAATGCCAAAAAGCAGGACTTTGTAAAAACTAATGAAGCTAAAACTTTTTCCCATTTTGCCTTTTTAAAACCAAATATTTGTGAGCTTTATTGGAATTGCATTAACTGACCAAGACAAAGAAGTTCATGCATGTGAGGTACATAAAAAGCCTCTGAGTCAGTACTATGCAGAACGATATTTAACTCCAATCACAGCAGGAAAACTTTTAGGTTCTCTACCAGCTTTGCACATCTAAACACTGAATGTTTTTACCCATTTCAACCATGCAAAATGTACCAGGCTCATTCTTTTCATGTCCCTGACCTGAATGAATGTCATGCTTAGGGCAGTGTACAGTGTCAGTTTTCCTCCCTATATTTTGGGCATCTAGGCCAAAGGTAACATTTTGTTCTCATCTAAGATGTGAATCTCTGCA